GAGGCCTCTCTTTTTTTCTCTAAACAGTTTGAATGGACGTGGCACTTGGGAGCGTTATATATATCCCCACAGCAACCACTCTGTGTTAGGCATTCTATTTCTATAATCTAAACATTCCCATAGACACACTCCTAAACCTTGTGGACAGCCTTCCCAGAAGAGTTGAAGCTGTTATAGCTGCAAAGGGTGGGCCAACTCAATACTGAACCCTATGGACTAAGACTGGGATGTCATTAAAATTCATGTGTGTATAAAGGCAGGCGTCCCAATACTTTTGGCAATATAGTGTACATATATATATATACAGTATATATATATATATATATATATATATACAGGGCTTAGACAGAAAATGGAAACACTACATGATTTGCAGGTGTGATGTAACATTCTTTTGCTTCCACTGTGTGATGAGACATCTAGCTAACTGGTGGGAAGCCTCACTTTCATCATTCACTGTGTGCGCTGCTAGTAATATGGAGTCAGAGTTTACTGAGCTTCAAAGAGGGCAAATTGTTGGTGTCCTGGTACCTTAGCTCGTGCCTCTGTGACTGAAGTTGCCAATTTATTTGCAGTGTTGTGAGGTACAGTATCAAATGCTACGACGTCAGATACAGTTTTCGGGAATATGTTATCTGATAAGCATATGCATGGTCAACATGGTCAACTGACCAGAAGAGACAAAAGGGCATTGCACAGGATTATGGGATAAGTAAACAACTGCTGCAAAAGTGACTGCAGAGCTCAATATCAGTCCTGGGAAGACTGAGATTGAGCTCTGCAGTCACTTTTGCAGCAGTTATTTTCTTATTCTGGGTCAAAATTCTACACAATGTCCTTTTGTCTCTTTCAGTCAACTGACTATGTCAACTGTTCTTATGCTTATCAGACAACATTTACCCGGAAACTGCATATGCCGTTATAACTTTTGATAGTGTACCTCGTAACATGGCAAATAAATTGGCACCTTCAGTCACAGAGGGAGGCACCAGCTATCCAATTGTGAAGTGAAATAAATAAAAATAATCTGCTTTTACATGATAAATGAAGTGAAGCTCCACTCTTTTGCATGAACATTCTCAACTACTTTAGTAAATGCTACCATGAAAGATTTTCAAATTGTATTCATTTTGGCATGTGCTACAAATATGTGTGTCTTCTTCAAAATCCTTAGGCAGGTGTGAAAAAATGCTATAAATTAAGAATGCTTTCAGAAATAGAAGTGTTACTATATTTTAATCAGTCAACAAATCCGAAAGTAAATGAACAGAAGAGAAATTCAAATCAAATCAATTTGGTGTGATCACACATTGCCTTCAAAACAGCATAAATTCTTCTAGGTACACTTGCACAACAGGTACATTGTTCCAGACATCTTGGAGAACTAACCACAGATCTTCTGTGGATGTAGGCTGCCTTATATCCGTCTCTTCATGTAATCCCAGACAGACTCGATGATGTTGAGATCAGAGCTCTGTGGGGGCCAAAGCATCACTTCCAGGTCTCCATATTCTTCTTTAGACTGCAGATAGTTCTTAATGACATTGGCTGCATGTTTTTCTGTTTTCAGGTTGTTGTCATGCTACAGAAAAAATACCCTGATGGTATGGTATGATGGAAAAGTATCTGTCAGCATTGTGGACACCATTGATCCTGACCAAATCTACAACTCCATTTTCAGAAATGCAGCCCCAAACTGGCAAGGAACCTCTGACCATGCTTCACTGTTATCTGCAGACACTTATTGTACCACTCTCCAGCCCTTCTGCAAACAAACTGTCTCCTGCTACAGATAAATATTTAAAATTTAGAGCACCTGTTGCCATTTTTATGCTTTCCTATTTTCGTGCATATGACATGGAAACAAGACTAAACAACTCAAATATGCATGAAAACATAAGAACTGGGGTGCAGAAAAATAGCAGCAAGTGCTCTGGACTGATGGGTCAAAATTGGAAATATTTGGTTGTAATAAAAGGCAGTTTGTTCATGCCGTTCTCAGTGTATACTGTTAGACCAGGAAGACGATGAAGTGGTGAGAGGTGTCAAGAAAGTGTTTAGGGATGGGGGTTAGAACAGGTAATGGGACATTTTCTACCTTAACCACTTCCAGCTCTTAGGACGTGCCCATCAATCCGTGGGTGGAAGTGGTTATACCACAATCATGGCTGCAATAGCGGTCATAATCCTGGCATAATTTTTTAGAACAAAAAACTGATCCGGGTGGCTATAAAGGGCAACAAAAGGGTTACTCCCCATCTCGCCACTGCCTGCTGCCCTTCCGTGGCTCTCCCACTCCACCAGAATGCCTGGGACTGATGCAAACGCTCACATCAAAAGGGCACTAAGGAGTGGGAGGACTTCCATTCCTCCTCCTGACGTAAGAAACTGAAAGCAGCGAGAACATTGTCATTTATGGTTTTGACTGTTTGTTTACTAGCTGTTATTGGCTAGTGAAGCAGCTGACCAAACAAGTGTTGTGGCAGAGTAGAGATCAGGGGTCTAATGGACCCCAGATCTCTCAGTAAACAGTACCTGCTCAGCTATCACAGGAGTTATTGTTCATCCCTTGTTATAGCAATACATTTTAATAAAAAAGGTAGGACCTGAACTCATATGTAAACATTGATTTCACAACACATAAGAGGTATTGCTACGAACATCAGAGTGACAGTAATAATTTTAGCACCAGAGCTCACATTTAAATCTAAATTGGTCATCTGTAACGGCTTGTAGAGCGTCGCCTGTGGATAATTTAAAGTACTATAGTTTGTCACCATCCCACGAGTATATGGAATTTTAAAGCATGACATATTAGTTATTTCTTTACTCTGGGTAACATCATCTTTTAAATTTGACCAAAAATTGGGTATTATATTGTGTTTGTGTTCACTAAAATTCATTAAAGTGTATTTCTTCCTGAAAATTTGAGCTTGATAAATGGCTGCAAATATATAAGTAAATTTCTAGCAAAAAAATGCAGATTTTGTATTTTGGTCCGGTAAGAAAGTGGAGTGCAATAAGGGAATGTATTAATGCATTAAGGTAAAAACTTTTTGAATTTAAAACTACTGTAATGTAAAAAAATATTAGGAACTATTTGCTTTGAAAAGTTAATGTTCAATTAGCTTAGTTAAAGTGGTTTTCTGCATTAATGTAAAAAAAACTTTCAAATGTTGCTCACTCCCCACCCCTTATTTATGAGTCAGATCTCAATCCAGCACTTTGCCTAAGAGCAGGCTCTTGGCACAGTGCTGGCTCCTTTCTCCTCACTGGACACAGAGGCAGCAGCAGGAAACATTGGCTCCTATTTCTGTCAATCAAATCCAGTGAGGAGGGAGCGGGAGTGGGGAAAGCCACGCTATGTGTGTCTATAGACACGCACAGCTTGGCTCATGAGCCAGCCCACATTGTCTGTCACCATAGCAAGTGGCTTGCTATGGGGTAGACACAGAAGAGAAGGCGTGTACAGTGCCAGCGGGGGACCCCAGGAGAGGATGTTCGGGGCCGATCTGTGCAATGTTATTGCACAGAGCAGGTTAATATAACACGTTTGTTATTTTAAATTTAAAAACATTAGCTTTAGTAATGCTTCAATAAGACAAAGCAATATGTACTCTCATTCCAATGATGTGCAAGAAAAAATTATAATTTTTTTCTGTTAAGAACTAGGACTACACTGGCAATTAAATCTTTTTACTACAGAGAAGGTTAACTACTTATTGGCAGTATCTTTGTTTGCAACACATTTGCATCACAAATCAGTGTTTTTTATAAAATAATAGGCAGCAAGTATTTAAATCCCTCAAAAGCAAAAATATTTTAAGTGGAATTCCAGGATAAAACTATCTAATCTTAATACTGCTCTTACCCTCCTTATATAACACCTATACTAAAATCTCTGTAGAAGAAAAATGCATAAACTTACCTATTTAAAAGTTGTTCAGGTCCAGTCATGTGATCAACCAGCGCGAGCTACAGGGGAGAGAGCAGAAAATGTTCCGACAACGGTTGGAAAGCTTGTTCAGTGATTTCACCCATAGGCTTACAATGGGCCATCCATTGTTGGTGCCCTGTCCTCTCCTGTCTTTGCCTCTCCTCTCTTCATGTCATTTTATTTCTTTCGGTCAGTTGACCATGTGTTATGCTTATCGGACGACATTTCTCCGGAAACTGTATATGCCATCATAACCTTTTATACTGTACCTCACGACACGGCAAATAAATTGGCAACTTCAGTCACAGAGGCACCAGATAAGAGGGCACCGACCAATTTGCCCTCTTTGAAGTACAGTAAGCTGTGACATGACTCCGTATTACACGCATTGAATGACAAAAGGGAGGCTGCCAACCTGTTAGCTAGGTGTTTCATCACACAGCGAAAGCAAAAGAATGTCACATCACTTCCGTTTTCAACACGAAATATGTTGTCATGTCACTTTCACACCTGCAAATCATGTAGTGTTCCCAGTTTTTGTCTAACCCCTGTATATATATATATATATATATATACACACTATACTGCCAAAAGTATTAGGACGCCTGCTTTACATGCACATGAACTTTAATGGCATCCCAGTCTTAGTCCGTAGTGTTCAGTATTGAGTTGACCCACCCTTTGCAGCTATAACAGCTTCAACTGTTCTGGGATGGCTTTCCACAAGGTTTTGGAGTGTGTCTATGGGAATGTTTGAGCATCCTTCCAAAAGTGCATTTATGAGGTCAGGCTCTGATGTCGGACGAAAAGGCCTGGCTCGCAGTCTCAGCTCTAATTCATCCCAAAGGTGTTCTATCAGGTTGAGGTCAGGATGGGTTGAGTTGCAGGCCAGTCAAGTTTCTCCACCCCAAACTCGCTCATCCATGTCTTTATGGACCTTGCTTTGTGCACTGGTGCACAGTCATGTTGGAACAGTAAGGGACCATCTCCAAACTGTTCCCACAAAGTTGGGAGCATGAAATTGAAAAACAACCCCGCACCATAATCCCCCCTCCATCAAACTTTACACTTGGCACAATGCAGTCAGGCAAGTACCATTCTCCTGGCAACCGCCAAACCCTGACACGTCCATTGGATTGCCAGAGAAGTATGATTCGTCATGCCAGAGAACACGTCTCCACTGCTCTAGAGTCCACTGGCAGTGTGCTTTACACCACTGCATCCAACACTTTGCATTGCACTTGGTGATGTAAGGCTTGGATGTAGCTAATCGGCCATGGAAACTCATTCCATGAATCTCTCTATGCACTGTTGTTGTGCTAATCTGAAGGCCACATGAAGTTTGTAGGTCTTTAGCTATTGGCTCTGCAGACAGTTGGCGACTTCTGCGTGCTTCAGCATGTGCTGACCCCGCTCTGTTATTTTACTGTTGTTCTCAGTTGCTTCCACTTTGTTATAATACCACTAACAGTTGACCTTGGAATATTCATTAGACAGGTGGCAACCTATCACAGTACCATGCTTGAATTTACTGTGCTCTTGAGAGTGACCCATTCTTTCACAAATGTTTGTAGAAGCAGTCTGCATGTCTTGGTGCTTGATTTTATACACCTGTAGCCATGGAGGTGATTGGAACTCCGGAATCCAATGATTTTGAGGGGTATACCAATACTTTTGGCAATATAGAGTATATATATATATATATATATATATATATATATATATTTATTTATTTATTTATTTATTTATTTTTTTACTTTTTGAAGAATCCCCACAAATGAGTGCAGCGACATATACAGTATTCATTATGTCTTGTGAGTAGGCACTGATATCTCACACATTTTACAGAGCCTGTGTTCTAAACTATAAAGGTGCTGTGAGGAGGAGTTTCAGGAGGTGGTGTCAGCACAGGAATCACTGCTTGCATGCAGCAAGGTACCATGGGATATGTAGTCCTTAGAAATCAAAATAAACCAAAAGAATGAGTGGAGGAGAACCCACAAAGCATGAAGAAGAAATACTGCTACAGGGCAGCATGGCTACGCAAAATCATGTGTATATATACGTGATTTTGCATTTCCGGGTAGGGAATTTCCAGGTAGGCCATTTGCAGCCTAGGCTGTCAATCACCTGGTCCCAGCCGGTGTATCTCTGAGTAACACTGACAGGGTGAGACCTGTATGCAAACAATACAGATCTCTCCCATGTCAGCTCCTGTACACTGCTTTGTATAGCTCTGCATAGAAGAGCCATACAAAGCAGTGTGCTTACAGTGTAAAGCACACACAGCCCACATAGTAAAACAGAACACAGCACACAGTTAACCCTTTGATCGCCGCAGATGTTAACCCCTTTCTGCTCAGTGTCATTAGTACAGTGTCAGTGCTTTTTATTAGCACTGATCACTGTATTGGGGTCACTGGGGATGTTAGTGACAGTTAGTCAGCCCCCCCCCCCAGTGTCAGAATGCCCACCACAGTCCCGCTGATTGGTACCATTACTAGTAAAAAACAATATCCAGTATATATACCGCCATTTGTAAATGCTATAACTTTCATGAAAAACCAATTAATTTACAGGTATTGGGATTTTTTTTAACAAAGACATGTAGCAGAATACATTTTGGCCTACATTTATGACAAAACCGGATTTTTAAATTTTTTTCTACTGGACATGTTTAATAGCAAAAAGTCAAAAATATTGGTGTTTTTTTCAAAATTGTCAGACTTTTTTATAGTTATCTATGTTTATAGCACAAAAAATATAAAACACAGAGGCAATCAAATACCACCAAAATAAAGCTCTATTTGTGGGAAAAAGGAGCGTAAATTTCATTTGGGTGCATGACCACGCAATTGTTAGTTAAAGTAATGCAGTGCCGCAACACAAAAAATGGCCTGGTCAGGAAGCAGGGGGATAAATCCTCTGGAGGGCAAGTGGTTAAAATGATCAGCTATTATGTATTCATGTAAAAACTTTATCCCGAAAGGAAAAAAAATGTTTGCTGTAAATGATTATAAAGCGTTTGCTGGAGTTTGACTTCAATTTGTTATAGTATTCAAATCTGCTATTACATTTAAAACTCCCCTCCCCCCAGACTGATAAGGCTGCTACCTGCTCTGTCTCCTGTTCTCATTCCTCCAGAGTGGTGTCTCACTAATACCGGAAGTGTGTTACTGGCCAGATCACCAGGTGATAACGAAAAACCAAAGCAAAGAAAACTGACACACTGACACTGATTGTTAAGCTGCAATATAATACATTGTTGGTTTTGGTCTAAATACTGCTTTACAGTAAATCTTCTTGAAATTGTAAATGTCAGTGGTGTACAGCATCTCATTTGTTATCTTATATATACAGAAATGGGGCATGGTCATTCAGTGCCCAGTGCGTAGATGCCAAACTTCACACAACTGGGGGGGGTTCAACTACCTTAAATTATTGGATACAATCCATTCATTTTACAGACAGTTTTATGAGAATGATATGAGTACAATACAAGCTGTGTTTTCTGCACAGAGAGCAGGCTTTGTTTGAAGCATACAAAGACTGTGACTGGAAGGAGAGAGACTGAGACCACTACAGCGGGGATTAGTGTGGGTACTGAAATATTGGTTCACATCCTGATTATGTTGCTAGAAATGGAGGATGTTTTCACCATTCATTTTCATAATGGGAAAAATGCTGTGTAGTGGACACTTAACTCACAGTATATCCTCTGGGTTCAAGGGTCACTTTCTAAATGTATGGACTTTAAGTAAAAAGATTTTAACATTCTTCAAGTATTTGAATATATTTATTGCTACTTTCCAAAAGTCCCAAAAGATTTAAGATTTTCTTTATTTTTCAGGTTGTGTTGACTTCAGCCACGGGAAGATGTTGGTGAAAAAAGATACAATCTACATTTTACTACTAATCCTCATCTTAGATTTTGCAGAATCACAGGTCAATCCCGGTAAGAGCCCTTATTCTTTTAAAACACTCTTGTTTTAAGATTTTCTGAGCTTTTCAGGTTAAATAAAAGAGAAGTATGGGATGGCTTTTTTTTCAAAATCATACTTAAATAGTTGAATGCAGCATGTTTGTCAGGGCTCTGTCCACAACAGAGGTACTCATAGACCTGGCATTCCTGCCAGTACCTTGCATGGCCGCAGAAATGCACACTGGAAAACATCTATGCGCATTGGTGCACGGATGCGAGCCGGTACACGCATGCGCACCGGTGTACATTTATACACACATTAGCCAAGTTTGGCACCAGATGGACTTTATAAGGAAGCCCATCACCCTCTCAAATGGATGGTTGATATCTGGCTCCCCAGTACCTTTTGTCCCATGTTCTCTTGCTATTGTGATCTGCTGTTACCGACTCGACTTTTTCCTAGACCTGTATTCTCACTTGTTCTCCTGTATATGATCCCGGCTTGGCTAACGATATTCTCACTTGCTCTCCTGTGTATGACCCCACCTATTCATCTGACTATGTCTGCTCTAATCCCCATCTGGCATCTGACCCTGGCTCTGAACTGACTACTCTGCGGTCCTCTGCTACTCTGAAGGCCTGCTATCTCTTATGGGCGCCATCTGTCTGCAGACACTGTTCCAGTGAACCAGCTGTGCTCCTGGGTGTACCTCTGACAAGCATCCTCAGTCAGATCATCTCTACAAGCACTCCTACAGGTGACCCATGCTTCTTTGGGCCTGACTCCTTCTGTCCCATCTCCAGGGGAGTCAGGAAGTTAGCTGCAAGGAAAGCCCTCTCTCCATTGGCCTCCAGCAACAGGTACATGATAATGTGTCTGTCCCCCACCGGCTCTAAGTATGAGAACTCAGCGATCACATCACTGAGTTCTCATTGACGCTGTGAGTAGAGAGTGGTGACTGTCAGTCACTGCTGTCTGCTCTGACCCCCTTCACCCACGCTAACTGGAGCGCTGGGCTGTTGAGGGGGAAGGAGTGGCTGGCTCAGGCTCTCAGCAATCTCTAGACTCTGGGGTGGATCCTGACTTTAAAGGATCTTTCCCCAGCCTGGACTCTGTTGTCATATATATCAGGGATGGAGGAGTGATAATTATTGTTGTTGAGGTTCTATTCTTTTACCATTAATTAGATAAACAAGTTACCCTTTGAAGAATGCTATTTGCTATATTTATTACCCCTTTTCATGTTATTAGATATTAGATGCTGGCCAAGACCTTTCAAGCCTGACTGAGCAATCTACATTTTATCACCCTTGCAAGGTTGCAAATTACCTTCTTTGAAATGTAACAAATTGTCCCCTAAGTGCCAAGGTGATCTTGCATAAAATTTACATAGCAAAGAGTCCTTGGCTATCCTTTTGTTGTGTAAAATGCATCTAGCTCAGTCAGATGCTGGCCTGGTCAATAACATGAATATACTATCAGTCAGCTGGAGGCCTGGTCAATAACGAATATATATATATATATATATATATATATATATATATATATATATATATATATATTTTATTTATTTATTTATATATATAATGACAATATCCTACAGATGCCAGCTGACAGTGGGGTTTAGTCCACTGTCAGCTGAAAGCAGGACACAGGAGTGCAGAACAAACTGCATTTCTGTGATCTACAGAAGTACAGCCAAAAGAGCTTTGGCTGTACTTCTCCTTTAATATTACAGCATTTATAATGTTGTGGCATACTTTGGCACAGTCTTTGTATGAATGGCTACACTGTACAAACACATGATTATTACGTTTCAGTAGAAATGTAATTAATCTAACTGACCATACTTTATCCATACTTATCAAAAACTGATTGTACTCATATACATTTATCAGCAACTATATAGAGTCAGGGTTTTCCTGATTGTGTATAAACTGAAAGGATTGGTTACCTATGCCCTTCTACTATGTAGGTAGACCTAAAGCAGATTGTACAATCAAATTTTTATGTGTGAGATGATTCTAAGTGCTCATGGACCCAGTAATAGTTTAATGCTAAAACGGGTGCTATCACACCTTAACAGCTATGACAAAAACACTATGCTTGTTTCTTAATTTCAGCTGTATGCCGCTATCCATTGGGCATGACTGGAAGACAGATTCCGGATGAAGATATTACTGCGTCTAGTCAGTGGTCAGAATCTACTGCAGCTAAATATGGCAGGTATGTCCATTAAATGGGCAGAGACTTTTATAAAGAAATGATAATCCCTTAAGTAAAATGTATCTGCTAGATATTATATTGTATAATATTCTTTTTGTTATTTCATACTATATGCTATATAGAGTGTTTTATAATAATCAGCTAAAAACAGCAATATTGTGCAATAACTCAGCAAACACTCAGACTTCAGATTCAACATTTATCTGCCCTAGACTGTAAAAGTTGATATCTACAGAAGTTACTGTATATTTAGAGGTAGGGGCATTTGTGGCATGTTCAGGAGAGGAGCATTTTGCGGAAAAGTTGATGTGCCTCAACATGTGTAAATGTGTCTTTAGCACTAGATGCTCATTCATTTCAAAGGCCAAAAAAAAATTAATATTCTGGCCAATGGAATGAATGAGCGCCCAATCACTTGACATGCCTAAGTGCACCTAAATGTGTTTGCAAAGCGTGGCTTTTTAATGCTGCTTCCTGTGTGTGTGGGGCCTTAGTGTCACATAACCTTGGACTACAAAACCAATCTCTATGCCTCCAGTCCTACATGGCTTACCCCTGTATCAAGCAGTGTCAAGATTTTAACATTGGAATTTAAAGTAAATAATGTTTTAATGAGTGTCTGACTTTAGAACTCTCTGTGTTTCTAATCAAGTTGTCCCTTTCCTATAAAATTTGCTTTTGGCTTAGGGTTAGAGTTAGGAGTTGGGTCAGGTGAAGATTTAATTTTTGGTGGTTAGGTTTAAAAGCAGTGTTAAAGTGGTAGTAAACAAAAAAAAAAAAAAAAAAAGATTTTTCCCTGCAAGGTAATGTCATAATGTGCTAGTATGCATTGCATACTAGCACATTATGAAAGTCTTACCTAAGAATGAAGCGCTCCAGCAGCGCACCGTCACTGCTGCAGAAGCTTCCATCTTCACCCGATCTTCCTGGGCCACTTGAATGGCCAAAGCCTTGATGATGTGGCCGTGGCACGCAGAATTGAAGGAACGGCACGGGTATTCTGCTCCTTCAGAGCATATGTGCCTGTGATATCACCGGCTGCTGCTCACTAGAATATCTTCTAAATGGTGGTTAGGAGGTATTCATTTTACCTACAGGTAAGCTTTATTATACGCTTACCTGTAGGTGAAAGTATAAAAAAATTAGTTTACTACCACTTTAAGTTTAGATATGTTCAGGATGAGGATTAAACCTAAAGGATAAGTGAACATTGTTTAACCCCTTGATGCCGACATCACACAAATATGCAGCCTCACAGAACTGGGCTTTTTTCCGTGGGGCTGCATATTTGCGTACCCGTCTTTGTGCTGGGAGTGCGCCAGCACAAAGACTGCGGTGTTACTGAGAGCCCCCCCGATTCCGGGTCACATGATCGCTGTGATAGCCTTTGATTGGCTATCACAGTGATCAGTCACTGTGCAGCCCGGTCCCCTTGTTTTTTTCTCTCTCTATGAATGGAGAAGAGAGATACATTGAATCTCTCTAACTCCTGGCATAGAGAGAAAAAAAAAATGTTTGAAAAAAAGGTAAATAAATAAATATTAAAAAATAAAAGAAAAAATACCTAGATCAAGGTTTGATGTAGTTCAGTGCCAGGGTTAGTGTTTGGGTCAAGGTCAGGGTCAAAGGTCAGGATTTGAAAAAAAATTGGTATCAGTGTCAGTTAGTGTCAGTGTGTTTTAGGTAATAAAAAGACAAAAACAAAATGTGCACTATTGTCTCTGGGCTGTACTACGAGAACAAACAACAAATAACATACACATATATGGTATCGCTGCAATCGTCAAGAGCTGGAGAATTTATTTTGGGTTGTTCTTTTGTGGTAGGTAATTCAGTGTGAAACTGTCTGTATTAAAGATTGATCATTGTTGCTCTCTCCTTGTGCAGTGTGACCAGGGTTATATCCACCCCCTCCTGTAGTTTTTTGCAGGCTGCCTGTAGTGGGAGGAGTTTCTGAGTCCCTCCCACAGCTCTGCTTTCTTCATAGGCTTTGTGTAGCACTGTGATTATGTTATCACTACTTTTACAATGTAATATTTGGGTTTGTAATGGCATTTGGTACACACAAAGTGGAATTACAGGAAATCCTTTTTGGCTATTAAGTAATGTATTAACATGAAGTTTTTCGCCTGGAGTTCAACTTTAAAGCCACCCAAAAGTGGATGTTCCGCTTCAAAGCATCATCCCCCTCTCCTCGTTCAATAATGGTACTTTTGGAGTGGGGGGGAGCAGGTACGCGATTTTGACAGGTACCCGCTCCCCCTTCCACTCCTGTTACCTAGGTAATTGGAAGCAAAACTCCTTCCCCCTCCCTCTCTGCTGTCTCCTGGGACACAAGACTGGTCCAAGAGGGCTGCAGGACCATTCGTAAAGCACAGCGCAGCATGCTCATGCACAGTGGGCACCCGGCTGTGAAGCTGCAAGCTGTCACATATGGATGCCCACAGATAAACTGCTGGCGCTGAAGACAGAAGATGAGAGGTGAAAAGCCTGGGGTGAGCACATTACTGAATCATGGGACAGGTGAGTGGCTGTTTATTGAAAGTCAGCAGGTACAGTTTTTGTAGCTGCTGACTTTTCATCATTACACAGGAGACTGTTCATGTTTTAGATTTCAGTAATAGGATTAAGGGTTACATAACCATATTGGTGAGTAAGTGACAAAATATTAAGTGCCAACACTACCACACCAAAAAACAACAGCCAATTTTAAGTACACAAAAATGAATGTTCCATTATTAAACAGTAACTTTATGTTTGCTTTATAAACTGTCAAAATCCCCCACACCCTCCTCATTAAAAAGTCTAAATAAAATCACAAATTCATACAGTATTTACATCAAGAAGTACTGCCATTGTTTGCCCACAGCCTGGCAGGGTTTACAACCCAAAGAAGCCAGATGTTTCAGCTATAGTGTGGTGGTGCTTACAGCCAGCTATAGAGAGAATCAACCTGGCTATGCCCATGCTTGGCATCTGAGATTATATTTAGGCCCCTTTCACACTAATGGTCCATTTTTTAGGCAGGCTCATTCAGAACCTTCATTCTCCTCTATGGAGCGGACATGTGTCCGTTTACACAAATCTGATCTGCTCTGCCAAAAACAGATCTGTTCCCCTTCTGTTCACTGAATGGGATGGCAGTCGGGTGTACAAGGACAGGTGGTCTGTTTATATCCATCCACCCATAGAGGAGAGGCTGTGTCCATGTCCGCTCCTCACCTATCATCCACCTGCTAAGTAAGGGATCAGCACGCAGATCCCCTGCTGAGAAAGTGGATCATAAGCAGAGTTTGCCCCGCATGAAAGGGGCCTTAGTTATTTGATTAGGAGGTAGGGGATTATTTTGACAGTTGTTAAACCAAAAAAAAATTTCAAAGTATTTGCTGTATCATGCATATAAATAGCACAATACTTTTTTATTATATTATAAAAACCTGTGTTTTGTTACACTTTGCAGAACAATGCAGCAAAATAAGGCCATAGCTATAACTGATGTAGTAGTTCAAGTATCAGGTAACAAAAACTGTTTTTGATGCAGTAGATATTGGCAGGGTTCTAAACGTCCTGGTTTACCATGCAGCCTGTAAAATTGGGGCATGCATTGTACACCATGGCAAATGGTAGTAGAAGTTGCCAGAATCTACATTTGAAAGGTTATGGTTAAAAAGTACATTACTCTATACCTGTATGCTAGAGCCTTCTTTGATATATCATATAGCTCATTGTGCTGTACATTACCCAGCAGCATACAAATAACAAGAAGATTGGATGTAGTTATCATAAGACTGGAAAATACTGTATATATTCCTGTACATGTAATAATACTTGTACATAGAAGTGCATATGCAGTTGTGGTTTTATCACCTTATATTAAAATCTTCAGAATTTTTACTTTTAATTTACATTTCTGCCCTCCAGATTTGAAACCCACTGGCCATATCATGTCCCTGAATTCAATACACAGTAGTCACCTAAAGTTAATCATGTTTTTGTTGTCTTTGTCCCAGCTGGAAAGATTCACCATCTATTTTTCTTGATGAACATTATTACTGTGACAGAAAGTGAAAAATCCTACATTTTAGAGTTGTCATGAGAGCAGGAAGTGGGGGTAAATCTTCCAATGATGACAAATGCAATGTCTTGGTGACACCTGCCTAAGATGAGAATTCCCCTCACTTTGTGGAGATTTACTCTAATTTCCTGTTGTGTCTCAAAGATAAAAAAATTGAAGGAACAGGGCCAGATCAAGCCTATTTGATCTGGGGGTGTAGTATAAAAAATGTCAGGGGGCATAATGTCAACACGGTATGTGAATCATTGACAGTCTGTCACAGAGTGTCATGGCCCTGTACAGTAAGTATTAGGCTGTCATGGATTAGGGTGATTAAACAGAACCTGTGCCCCCTTATATCAGATGTTCCTATCAGAGTCCTACTTTATATCACAGTCCCCATCAAAGTGCCACCTTACATCAGAGTCCCCATAAGGGTTCCCCCTTACAGCAGGGTCCCCATCAGAGTGCCCCCCTTATATCAGATGTGCCTATCAGAGTTCCCCCTTACAGCAGGGTCCCCATCAGAGTGCTCCCCTTATATCAGATGTGCCTATCAAAGTTCCCCCTTACATCAGGGTTCCCATCAGGGTGCCCCCTTACATCAGGGTCCCAATCAGAGTGTCCCGTTATATCAGAGTCTCCATCAGAGGGTCCCCTTACATCAGGGTCCCCATCAGAGTGCCCCCTTACAACAGGGTCCCCATCAGAGTGCCCCCTTACAGCAGGGTCCCAAAAAGAGTCCCCCCTTACATCAGGGTCTCAATCAGAGTGTCCCCTTATATCAGAGTCCCCATCAGAGGGCCCCCTTACATCAGGGTTCCCATCAGAGTGCCCCCTTGCATCAGGGTCTTAATCAGAGTGTGCCCTTATATCAGAGTCCCCATCAGAGGGCCCCCTTACATCAGGGTCCCCAACAGAGTGCCTACTTACATCAAGGTTCCCATCAGAGTGCCCCCTTATATCAGATGTCCCTATCGGGGCTCCCCCTTACATCAGGGTCCCCAGCAGAGTGCCCCCTTACATCAACTAAAATCTGCTCCCAGCACCCTCCTAGATTTTGCCTTGTGAAGGTACCCCCGACCTCCCCCCTTCCCAGAGGGAGACATAAAAAAATAGAGACAAATTACCTAATAAGAATCCTAAAGCTGGTCTTTTATTTACCTTATACCTCGCTCTGGTGTCTCCTAGTTCATGTGACCTGAAGCAGCTTCTCTTCAGTGCTCTGGTCAGCAGCCACAGCTCTGACATCGTCAAGTACAATGTAAGGGCTTGTCCACAATATGGAGCATTGGACATCAGCATGGCTTTATATTTCCAATGAATTAGAAAGTATCTTCTAGTCATGCACAAATTAGTTTGTGCCAAATTTTGTTGTAGTTCATTTACACTGTACAGTTAACAACTGGATTTAAATCTCACGTAACAATGTCAGTGCTGTTTTTGTTTTGGTCTACAATAAAAAAATGTTTGTGTGTGTATGGCTTTTACATATCTATTTATACATTAACAATTGTGTTATTGTTTCAAAAAGCTATGCAAATCATTATAAAAGATATTAAAGATATATCCGTTTGTTTAATGTAAGCGTAAATGTTTATGACATCTGAAACTTATCATTAAACAGGTTGGATTTAGAAGAAGGAGATGGGGCGTGGTGTCCAGAGTTACCAGTAGATCCAGAAGAACTGACAGAATTTCTGCAGATTGATTTGCGGGTCCTTCATTTTATAACCTTGGTAGGCACTCAAGGTCGACATGCAGGAGGACATGGCAATGAGTTTGCACAGATGTTTAAAATAAACTACAGTAGAGATGGCACTCGTTGGATCTCCTGGAAAAATCGGCATGGCAGTCAGGTACAAACACAGATAAACTGTTTTACAATTTCAGCTTTTCTGAAGGGTGAATTAACATCATCAGCTATTCCCTTAATTCCTTTATTCCATGGCATGTGCAGAGATGTGCCAGACTGAGATATAAGATGCAGGCTGGTGGCTGAACCCTATCAGCTCAACATCAACCCCAAAATGAAACATCAGCTGGTAATCTTGAGCTATGATATAAGAAAGTTATTGTTAAAAGAGAAGCAATGTTTTTTTTTACCCCCATTTTACTTACCTAGGTTGATGCAGCATTGGTCCGATGCTGCATCTGTCCCCCGGGAGCTCTGTGGGTGAGAACTCAGATGACTGCTGATCGCTGAGCTCTCACAGCCACTCTGAGCAGAGAATGGGACTGTCAGTCCCCGCTCTCTGTTCTACCCCCCTGCGCTCGCTGGGAGGGAATGGCTGGCTCAGGCTTTCAGTGAGCCCGGTGCCGCTCCAGACTCTGGGGTAGATCCCAACTTCGAAGTCGGCATATTTCCCCAGCCCGGACTGGCTGAGTGACGTCAGCCGACAGTCTGCTGTCAGCTGAAAACAGGTCAGAGGAGTGCAGAACAAACTGCACTCCAGTGATCCACAGGAGAAGTACAGCCAGAAGAGTGTTGGCTCTACTTATCCTTTAATGGATTGCTGTCAAGGTACTAGGAGATAGTTCACTTCACCAAGTAAAGCTGGCCACACAAAGTCAAAGTTGCCCAACTTAATGAAGTGTTTAGGCAGCCTCCTTTACTTTACTTTAGAACAATAGTTATAGAAATGTGAATTCATCAGTACATACGCTACATAGAATTTGGGAAAAGAAGGGAGATAGGAATGAAGAAAAATGAGAAGTATATAATCTGATTCATTTAATAGTATTAATACTAGTAGTTAATATGGTAGAAAGTTTATTCATTTGTTGGAGCTGGATGGTGGAGTTTAAATGAAATAAGTTTGCCAATCTATGCAGTGATGAAATGATGATAAGAACAAAGAGACACACGATGTTTTAAATAAAGTAAGATGTAACAGACGTTATAAAAATCCACCTGGGGTATTGTCTTATATGTCTCTTTCCATGTCTACCTCCTGCAAGGACAATTTTACATTTATGGTGAAAAAAACTGACAGTAGGGTCTTTACAAGACAATTTTAAAGGTGTGACTGGGGACAAAGAGAATGCAAATATATTAAATACTTTATTTAGCTCTGTGTATACTAAGGAAATTGGGGGAGTCCTTAATGGGGATAGTATTGGCTTAAAATAGTATTGGCTTAAAATAGTATTGGCACACTGGCTCAAAACTGATATGGCTCAGAAACACTTAGACAAAGTAAAGGTGAATAAAGCACCTGGCCTAGATGACTTACACCCAGGGGCCTCAAAGAGTTTCTTCTAAGTTATTTCTAAGCCATTGTTTCTAATTTTTAGAGACTTTTTATTGGCTGGCGTAGTACCATTGGACTGACATCAGGCCAATATCATGCATATATTTAAAAAGGGATCAAGGTCTTCACCTAGCAGCCAGTTAGTTTAATTTCTATAGTTGGAAGGACACTTGACAATTTATTAAAAGTCAACATAGAATAGTTTATGCTAGAAAATAATATTTTACATAAGAGAAATTAAAAATTAGTGAAGCGCTTGTATCACATGAATACAATCATGTATCTCCATATAGTGTAATTATAAATCAAAGTGACCACTATATATATAATAAATGTGTGTTGACTCCCTCTAGTGAAAAGAAAAAATAGTGTCAACCAAAATAGCTAAATAACACACATTAGGAAACTAAATATATAGTGCATAAATCAAATATAATGAACAGAATATATATACGTGAAAACAGAATATTGGCCACATACAATGGTGTCTAAATTATACATAAATGATATATGCCATAGGTGAACAAGACAATATCAAAGGTGAAAAAAATATTCCATGCATGTGACTGTGCTTTAAGCTGGAACACACACGTGATCTCCACTTCTAAGTGCAAGTACTCTCCTTCAAATGGCAGCAATGCCTGCTCACCTCCCTTCCTCGACCCACACAGGGCCTCAAAGCAGTTACCACCTCAGTGGTGTATTCCTCTGGCAGACTCCTTATTCCTCCTCCTCTCTTATGCAACTCATAAAAAGACAAGAAAGCCTTCCATAGTGTAGTAAATTTAATAGGCAAAGTTAAAAATTACAAAGTTTTCCACTCACATGCTCCTTTCCATAAAAAAGCGTTTTTCCCAGCCTGTGGGTAGATATGCATGCACCTGGGGGAATCCAATATGGCCACTGTGTCCGGACATACGTCACCAGGAAGTAGACAAACCGACGCGTAGCGTCACGTGCGTCGTGACTTCATCAGGGTTACCGCCCCCTGGTGACTCAATGGTATTTATAGAGAAAAAAAAAAAAAAAAAAAAAAAAAAACCTAATTGGATTCCATTGTGAGAGCAGGCATACGGCGGACATCTTATTAGAGTCCTGCACTCACATACATGAATCTATCCCATATATGAATTCTAGTGCTGGATACCAGATATAAATCTCCATATGTCATATTCAAGATATACACATATAGGAGTAAACAAATTATATATTTAAGCCTATATGAACCACATCTACATCTTTAATGGTGCACTAACACCAAATCATAAACTTTATTAATCATAAATATTAAAACCATTAATCTTAGTGGGCTTCCTTATTAAGTAGATATATATATCCTCTCACTAGAGGGAGTCAACACACATTTATTATATATAGTGGTCACTTTGATTTATAATTACACTATATGGAGATACATGATTGTATTCATGTGATACAAGCGCTTCACTAATTTTTAATTTTATTTTGCACTTATTGGTATCAGCTAAGTGACAGCAGCTGTATTTTGTCAATTATTCCCATGAGCGCAGGAGGATCCCTTATTATTTATTTTACATAAGAGACAGCTTGGAGTCACGAAAGGCTGAAGTTGCCAAGCAAGTCTGTTTTTTTCATGAGGAGGTAAGCAATAACTTACACAAAGGAGTGGCTGTAGATATAGCATACTTGGATTTTGCAAAAGCGTATGACAGAGTTATCCACACTAACTACTAATGTGTAAGTTAAAGTCTACAGGCTTAGATAATTCAGTTATAGAAAATTGCCTAAAAGATGAGAGTCATGCTTTATGACTCATACTCTGATCTATGGTCTGGTCTAAGGTTATTAGTGGTGTACCCCAAGGTACAATGTTGGGACCCTTTCTTTTTAGCCTACTTATACATTTTATATAATAGTTGGGAATAAAAGTAGAAAGTAAAAATGTTCTTACAGGATGTCTCCAATTTACAAGCCACTATTTAATTGGGCAAATATGTGGCAAATGAGGTTTAATGTTAATAAATGTAAAGTTATGCATCTGGGGGCTAACAGAATGCATGCATCATACATACTAGGAAGAGAACAGCTGAGGGAGTTAGTGGTTGAGCAGTAGCTGGGTGTCCTGATAGATCATAGACTTAATATTTGCATGCAATGCCAAGCTGCAGTTTCTAAAGCTAGCAAAATATGTTCTTGTAATAAAAGATGTTTAACCATTAACCGCCCGGCCAATGGCCGTTTGGCGGCTTCAGAAGTGTCTCTGCACTCCGGGTGCACGCCATTTGGCGTGCTCCCGCACATGCGCAGTTTGCGCTAATGCAGAGCGGCGCAGCAGTGTGATCTGTCACCGGCCGTGCACCTCGGACATGGCCGATGACAGATCCGAGTACCGACTCCCGTTGCTGGTACCATGTGACCTGCTGTGACCAATCACAGCAGGTCACATGACAGTTGTATACAATGGATGGCTTCATTCATGATGCCATCCATTGTATACTAGTGCCTAGCTGTGAATGGTCACAGCTAATCACATGCACATGTCATGTGATTAGCTGTGACCAAATCACAGCTAAGCACAAAAAAAAAAAAAAAAAAAAAAAAAAAAAAGCTGAATGAATCGATTTCATTCAGGTAAATGCTTGCTTATAGCAAAGTAATTCTTTGCTATAAGCAAATTGTGTAAAAAAAAAAAAAAAAAATACTGATCACTTCCCCAAAGTAGTACAATGTTACTATGGTAACATTGTACTACTTTGGTCATAGTAAAATCTTAAAAAAAAAATCTTAAAAAAAAAATGTAATAAAAAATTAAATATAATAAAAAAA